TGTAACTCAGCCAGTTTACAATGAATAGGTTAGTGCTTAAGTAGCAATATGAAGTCTATGCTTACACATATAAAAGAAAGAAAGAGAATAGAGGCAACCCACTTGTTACCCAAATAATCCAGGTAAAGTTTTGAGGGAAGTCCTGACTTATTCAAGTGGAAATCTTTTTTTCTTTTTCTTTATAAGAGATACTAAAACTAAGTTGGTATAGCTTTAAGAAAGTTTCAAAAACACGGAAGACATTGAAGTTATAATTCCTGTAGGGAGCAGTTTTTATTGACTATGCTTTTAAATCTAATGTTTGTAATAAGTGAAGAGATGTTAAGACTATACAACCATTAAAGAAACAATATAACATGATGTTTTTCTAATACCTGCAGTTTGAAATCCTGCATTTTTATAGCACATCTTATTGAAAATAACAAATCAATTTTCTCCAACTCAAACCTTGAGCTTAAGATGAAACCAAATAGTTTGAGAAGTAAAATATGCTTTAATGTTTTATTATATTTAAGTGGAAGCAAAGGTACACATGAGGAATAAGAAAGAAAAAATAAATCCCTGTACAGTTAGGAATTAAATGAAATTTTCAAATTTTACATTGAATGAAAATTCAGGTGTAATTTATGCAAAGGCCATTAAATTTTTCATTTGAATTCATCATATCAGTTTTAGTTTAGCCCTATTTCTCTGCATCTCTTTTCTTTTTTGCCTGTCAATGAGTTGGTAAGAATACTGCATCCATTCTGATTAGCCAGCAGATAAGCAATGTGGAAACTGATTTAAAGTCTCTACCACTGGAGATGTCAAAACAGATGTTACTTTTCTTCAGGATGACAGCGCTGGGCCTGAAATGTCAAACATAATTAAAAATTTTATTTTCAAATGTACTCCACAGTTTATACATACTGCAAGCACGTCTTACCTTTTGAACTTGTAGAGTGCTGTGCTCTGCAAAACGCGAGAGCCTTTATTTCACTTTAGATGCCATTTGGGAATTAAATCGTTTCATCAATTGGTACCCAGAGATTTCCTTCAGAATTTGGCATGAAAAGACTGGCATTTCATTAAAATGTGCTGACAACTGAAGAGCAGTTCTAGCAGGACTGGTTTCTCTCACCCTTCTATGAATATCACGGTTTTTTCCCAGTGGGTTATCCAAGTTAGAGAATAAATTAAGGTCTTTATCTTTAGGATGATATTACTTATTTCATTCCCTAAAAAGGGAAAGTTTGGAAGTCTTATGTTGCTTACTCATATTTCTTTATTGTTTATTTTCTGTACTTTTTTTGAAACTTGAGTAATAAAATACCTGGGGAAAAAAATATCTTTGTCTTTTCATGATATATGTTCAAAACAAATTAAAAATACAGAACTCACCATACACAGCAGAGAAAATAAGCATAGATTTGTGCTCTCATAGGTAAAATGAGGAATCCCAAAAGCATGGTTTCTCCAAAGAAGATTCTCTGCCACTAAATGTAAGCTGAGGGGCCCTGATCCACCCACAACCACAACCAAGTACCCTATCTCCAGCCTGGAGGGGCCATTTGTTATTCCCATATGCATCTCCTTTCATGGAGAATAAGTTTCCTGAGGTCAAGAAAAGTGTCATGTTTACGTGTTTATCAACTACAGAGGCTTCATGATGCTTTGCACACAGGTAGCTCTCAGTAAATGTTTTTTGAATAAATGTAGTTGGAATGTTGGAAAGCCCCCTACACAGGACTTCTGCACTCTGAGAACAGGATAATGTGGCATAGTAGTTCAGAGCAGCAGCTCTTGCACTTAGCTGCTTGATTTTAATCTCAGCTCTACCTGCCACTTACTAGCTCGTGATGATGGGTAAGTTATGTCACACTGCTATACCTCTGTTTCCACATATGTAATACGGTTATTGCGAGGATTAAATGGGATCTTACATATGAGATATCAGAACACTGCCTGGCACGTGGTTAAGCACTCAATAAATACTAGCTACTATTGTCCCCCATTAACGTGTCAGTGATATGATAACCTAGTAGAAGAGTCACCTTGCACCACCAAGGTGTATGCATAAATGCTTAACCTCAAAAGATCTCTAGGTAGTGGAGTGTCAGGCAGTGATGATTGTGAGCTAAGGAATTTGGAGAGTTACCTGTTGGAAATCAAAGAGATGCAGCAACTTTCATTATCCTGGATTACAAGGGATTGCCGGGTTTGAAAGGGTCCTGGGCAAATTTTTGCCTAGTCACTTTTCAAAAACTGTTTCTAAATGCTCACACGGCCCCAGAATAGCTCCCAGGGTCTCTCTTTTCCTTGTCTAAATACGGATATTGTGCTCCTTCTAGATCTTTATGCCCTCATGATTTAGGCTGTTTATTATTAGTAAACTGAATTCCCTCCTGTCTTTTCCCTGATTTTAAAGAAAGTACCACTAGGAGTCTATTGTTAATACTAATATAGAATGTTTATATTATATTAGAATACATACTAGTGTATATTCTAATATGTATTTTGTTTGATAATGTCCTAAAATTTTTATAACAAAATTTTTTACAACAATATTGCCATGTGAGATTGAAATTGGGCAATAGCTTTCTTTTTTGCATGATCACAGTCAAGCATAAGTAGCAATATGATGATGGTTTTTCAAAACAGGCCAGAAAGTTTTCTTATTCTTTGATGCTTCCAAAACGTTTAAATAATATCAGAGTAATTTTTCATTAAAAATTTAAAATAGATCATTCATAAAATTATCTCAGTCCAGAGTTTCTGAGGTACCATTTTGGACAATTTTCCCAACTGTTCATATTTATTAATATATTTGTCATTTTTCTATCTTTTCTTGAACCAATCTTGCTATTTTTATTTTTTCATTTCTTTGTATATTTCACTAATATATTCAAAATTATTATACTATTGAAAAATTAATCTTATATACCTAATTTCCTCTTTATCTATGGTTACTTTGTTTTTACTTATTGCTACGTTTGTCTAATTATGGGACCTTTTTTATTCTACTGTTGTTTAATCTAGCTAATTGCTTATTTGTTATTTTAAGTTTTTTAGACCAAATCTGTAACGAGTTTCTTAATTTTACTTTTTATCAATCTACCGTTTTTGCTTAACAACCCTCCTTCATAAATTTTGTTTTAAACATTTTATTTTAAATTGACAAATACAATTTTGTGCATTATCATGTACAACATAATGTTTTGAAATACATATACATTATGAAATAGCTTAATTGAGCTATTCTTCGTCTAACGTCTGCATTACCTCATATAGTTATTTTTGTGGTGAGAATATTTAAAACCTACTTGTAACAATTTTCTAGAATATATTGTTTTTAACTATATATTGCACCATGTTGTGCAGTAGGTCTTTTGAACTTTTTCCCCTTTTCTAACTAAAATTTTGTATCTTTTGACCAACATTTCCCCCATTCCTCTTCTTTCTATCAGTCAACCCCTGGCAACCACCATTCTATTTTCTACTTATATGAGATCAACTTTATTAGATTCCACATATAAGTAAGATCATGCAGAATTTGTCTTTCTCTGTGTGACTTAATTCACTTAACATTGTGTCCTCCAGGTTCATTTACGTTGCTGTCAATGACAGGATTTCTTTCTTTGTAAGCAGAATAGTATTCCAATGTGTATCTATACATGTTCTTTATCCAGTCATTCGCTGATGGATGCTTATGTTGATTCTATATCTTGGCTCTTCTCAATAATGCTGCAATGAATATGAGATTGCAGATAATTTTCAACACATTTATTTCATTTCCTTTTGATATATACCCAAAAAGTGGGGTTGCTGGATCATATGGTAGCCCCATTATTACTTTTTCGAGGAAACTCTATACTCCTTTCCATGCTGGCTGTACCAATTTACATCCCCATAAACTGTGCGCAAGAGTTCTGTTTTCTCCACATCTTGGCAAACATTTATTATCTTTTGTCTTTTTGATAATAGTCATTCTAACAGGCATGAGATGGTACCTCATTGTTTTAATTTGGATTTCACTGAAAAGTCAATTCTTTTTTAACTTAATACTTTCTCCTACTTTCTTTAGTTTTAATTCATTGACTTCTGCATTTATCTTTGACTCTTTACTTCTGCTTTCTTAGATTTATTTGGTTCTTTTTATGACTTCTCAAAGGAATGCTTCATTTATTGTTTTTATTTCTTTTTTATATATTGAAAGTACCTAAAGTTATAAATATGTCCTCTGAGTATATCTTTCCTAAAATCCCATACGTTTTGATAAATAATGCTCTCATATTCATCTACTGCATACATGATGACATCTAAAACAATGTAATTCATAGGTTGAAAATAAAAGGGTAGACAAAGGACAATTAGAAATGTACAAATAAAAAGAGAATAGAGAAATATCAATATTGATCAAAAGTGAATACAATATGTGGATCATTAAACAAAACAGAATGTTGCTTTGTATGTGTGTATGTGTGTTTGTGTGTGTCTGCGCACATGCATGAATGATTCCTTCTTCAGGTAAGCTTCTTAGAGAAAACACTTGGGTGAAATGTTTTAGGATCTCTGCATATTTAAGTTTATTTTTAAGGTACTTTTACACAAAAATGAAAATATGGTAAGTCAAATCCACACTGAGATAATAGTACTGACGTGCCAGAATGATTCAAATGAAAGTAACAAACATTACCAAGGATTAGGGAGAGCATGGAGCAACTAGGCTCTCTTATATTACGTATGGAAATATAACCCTTTACCAATATTTATTAATACTGACCTTGCAATTCCTCTTCTAGATACGTATCTAACAGAAAAGCATACATATGTGTCCTAAAAATGATAGTAGAACTATTTGTAATAGCCCAGAACTGGAAATAACCCAAATGTAGTAAATGGATAAATAAATTATATTTGTATGTATATTTTCAATTATCTATGGTTGCATAAAAACTACTGTAAAATTTGATGCTTAAAAAGCCAATCTATTTTCTAAAATTCTGTGAGTTGGTTAGGACTTTCTTCTACTGCTCTTGTCTGAACTCAATCATGTAGCGACCGTCATCTGATGTCTTCCCTGAATCTGCAGGCTGAAAATGGCCTTTGGAACATGGTACCAGCTGTCACCAGAGAACCTCCATTCTTCTTTCTGCAGAGACTTTCATATTGAGTAGATTAGGCTGGGCTTTTTCACAGCATTATGGTCAAATGGTCTAAGAGAACAAGAGACAAAATTGCAAGGGATTTTAGTCCTGAACTGTAGAACTTGCATAGTATCATTTCTGTCACAATCAATGTCAAAGAAATCATAAAGCCAGCTTAGATTCAAGATGATGAAGAAATAGACTCCATCTTTTGATAGCAGGAGAAGCAACATCACATTGCAAAGGGGTGTGTACACAAAAGGGCATGATATATTGGGAGGCATTATTATAGCAATCTACCACAACCAATGTATAGCAATGACAGTGAATGAATTAGTGCTACATGCAACAACAGGGATGAACCTCACAATGTTGAGTAGAAGAAGCAAGTCACAAAAGAATAAACATTGCATGTCCCATTTATATAAAATCCAAAAATGGGCCAAACTAATACATGGTGTTAGAAGTCAAGAGAGAGTATAAGAAGCACTTCTGTGGTCCCATTAATGTTTTATTTCTAGACACATGCAGTGGTTACATGGGAATTTTCACTGTGTGGTAGTTTGTTGATCTTTTTGTTATTTTGAGTTATGCAATTTTCTATATGTATATTTCAGAAAAATTTTTTAAAAGGAAACAAAATAAAAACAAAAACAAAAGAATTTAGAAATCATACCAGTAAATTCTCATTAATTTAATATTCACCTGGGTACTATCCAATGCCTTTCCTAGAAAATGTGCTGATGGTTACTGTATTAGACCACTTTTTACATTGCTATAAAGAAATGCCTGAGACCGGGTAAAATTTAAGAAGAAAAAAAGGTTTAGTTGGCTCATGGTTTTGCAGGCTGTGCATGAAGCATAGCGCTGGCATCTGACTCTGGTTAGGCCTCAGCAAGTTTACAACCACGGCAGAACGTAAAGGGGGAGTAGTAAGTATATCACATGGCAAGAGAGGAATCAAGATAAAGTGAAGGAGTTGGTCCCAGACTCTCTTAAATAACCAGATCTCCTGTGAACTACCAGAGTGAGAACTCATTTATCACTAAGGGGATGGTGCGAAGCCATGCATGAAGAATCTGCCCCCATGAGCTAATCACCTCCCACCAGGCCCCATCTTCAACATTGGTAATCACATTTCAACATGAGATTTAGAGGGGACAAACACTGCAACCATAAAATTCTGCCCCTGGCCCCCCAACTCTCATGTCCTTCTCACATTTCAAAATACAGTCATGCCTTCATAATAGTCTTACCTCATCCCAGCCTTAACTCGAAGATCCTAAACTCCAAATTCTCATCTGGAGATGAGTTCCTTCCACCTATGAGTTTGTGAGATAAAAATCAAGTTATTTACTTTCATGATGCAATGGTGCTACAGGCATTGGGTAAACATTACTGTTCCCAAACATCAGCCAAAAGAAAGGGGCAATAGGCCCCATGCAAGTCTGAAACCCAACAGGGAAGTCATTAAATATTAAAGTTCCAAAATAGTCTTTTTTGACTCCATGTCCTGCATCCACGACACACTGGTGTGAGGGGTGGGCTCCCAAGGCCTTGAGCAGCTCCACCCCTGTGGCTTTGCAGAGTGCAGCCCCCATGGCTACTCTGATGGAGTACATCTGAAGTGCCTACATCTCTCCCAGATTCAAAACGCAAGCTGCCTGTGGGTCTATCATTATGAGATCTGGAGGACAGCAGCCTCCTTCCCACAGCTCCACCAGGCAGTTCCCTGGTAGAAACTCTGTGTGGGAGCTCCAACACCACATTTTCCTTTGGCATTGGCTTAGTAAAGTATCTCTGTGGGGACTCTGCCCCTGTGGCAGGCTTCTGCCTGGGCACCCAGGCTTTCCACTACATACTCTGATACATAGGTGGAGGTTGCCAAACGTCCTTCACTCTTGCATTCTGGGTGCCTGCAGGTTTAACACAATATGGAAGCTGCCAAGGCTTAAGGCTTGTGTCCTACAGAGCAGTGACCTAAGCTGTATCTAGGCCCCTTTGAACCAAGGCTGGAAACAGAGTGACCACAATGTGGAGAGCTGTGTTCTGAAGCTGAGGAGGGCAGTAGTGCCCCAGGCCTGGCTCAAAAAACTATTCTTTCCTTCTAGTCCTCTGGGCCTGTTAGAGGAGGGGTTGTCTCCAAAATCTCTGAAATACCTTTGGGGCTTTTTCCCCATTCTCTTGGATATTAACACTTGGCTCCCTTTTAGTCATGATAATTGTAATATCCCTAGCAAGTTCTCCACAGCCTACTTGGATTACTCTCCTGCCACATGGCTAGGCTGCTACATGGCTAGGTTGCAAATTTTTCAAACCTGTATGCTCTGTGCTCTGTTTTCCTTCTAAGTATAAGTTCCAATTTTTAAGTCATTTATTTGCTACAGCATCTGATTGCAGACTGTTAGAAGGAGCCACGCCACATCTTGAACACTTTGTGGCTTAAAAATCTCTTCCACAAGATGCCCTGAGTCATCAATCTTAAGTTTAAATTTCCACCAATCCCTAGAGCATGGATGTAAGGCAGCCAAGTTTTTTTGCTAGAGCATAACATGGGTGACTTTTACTCCAGTTTCCAATAAAGTCCTCGCTTCCATCTGAGACCTCATCAGCCTGCCCTTTACTGTCCATATTTATTGAAGTAGCCTCCTGTGTCCTGTCCCCACCCCAGTATCGCCCCTGACCCCATTACTGTACATATTTCTCTCAGTATTTTGGTCACAACCATTTAATTAGTCTCTAAAAAGTTCCACATTTTCCCTCATCTTCCTTTCTTCTTCGGAGCCCTCCAAACACTTCCAACTTTTACCCATTATCCAGTTCCAAAGCTGTTTTCACATATTCAGGTATCTTTATAGCAACATCCCACTACAATTTTCTTTGTTAGGTTATTTTTGCATTACTATAAAGTAATACCTGAGACTGGGTAACTTTTAAAGAAAAGAGGTTTAATTAGCTGATGGTTCTTCAGGCTGTACAAACATGGCTCCAGCATCAGCTTCTGGTGAGGACATCAGGAAGCTTACAATCATGGCAGAAGGTGAAGAGAGAGAAGGCAATGTCGCCTGATGAGAGAGGGAGCAAGAGAGAATGGGGGAGATGCCATGCTCTTTAAACTACCAGATCTTGCATGAACTGCCAGAGTGAGAACTCACTCATCACCAAGGGGATAGTGCTGCTGCCATTCATGAGTGATCTATCCCATAATCTAAATATTATACCTCCCACCAGGCACCACCTTAAACATTAGGAATTACAGTTCAACATGAGATTTGTAGGAGACAAACATCCAACCTATTTTAGTTATTCATTCCCCTGCTGAAGGAATGAGAAAGATCCAAAAGCTCTGGAAGCCAGTACTGGGGAACTTGGTCTCTATTCTTTTTCTTGTTTTGTTTAAACTCTTATATCAGGATCAGTTAATAGTTACCACTGTCTTCTGATGAGGTGATTATTTTCCTCTGTTCAGACCCCCTTGCTTACCACTGCTAGTGCTGACCAAAGTAGTCATTCCTAGATTATTTCTTGTGTTTTCCTATTTTATCTATGGCAAAGTTGGAGCTTTCCAACCTCAGCCTTCAGTCTTGCTTATCTAAGGAATTGGGAAACTTTTTTTTTTTAACATTTTCCCTGGCAAGTCTAGTTTTTGACATGCTTCTAATTGGGAAATATTAATGTAATTTTCCAGAGATTTTCCACCTAACTGCCTGCAATACTTGGTCACTCTTCCCAGAAATGCAAATTCCTACTTCCTCTCCCTTCCGCCAATTGGATTAAATTGTTTTTATGTATAGGTGATATTGTGATTAATAATATGGACTGTGGAAATTAAATGTCTGGGAATGTAATCTGACCTCAACCTTGCATGGGTTTACTTCCCTCTTTGGGATCAATTTCTACATATGTAAAATCGAGATAACAGTAGGTCCTACCTCTTGAGTTGTAATGAAATTTATATAAATTAATTCATGTAAATTAAAAGTCTGCCTAGTACATCAAGTACTTGATAGGTGTTTGCCCTTATTATTAAGACATAGCTATTAATGTTTAGGGTAGAATGTTGACACATTCTGATAATTTTCACACTGATGACTTTAGTATTTGATATTTTACTTCTCTTTTAATCATTTCTGTTCGTTTTGTAAATCCAGATCCCACATTTTGGGGAGGGGAGGATATCTGTTGCCATGTATTCTTAAAATAAAACAACGAATTTTAGGAAAAAAGTTTTATTGTCAAACTAACATTATGAAGTAAAATGGAGATGACAGGAAAAGAGAATAGGAGGATATGATACATGTCAAATTGTCCCTGTTTGCAGATGACATGATTGTGTATTTAGAAAACCCCATCGTCTCAGCCCAAAATCTCCTTAGGCTGATAAGCAACGTCAACAAAGTCTCAGGATACAAAATCATTGTGCAAAAATCATAAGTATTCCTATACACTAATAACAGACAAACAGAGAGCCAAATCATGAATGAACTTCCATTCACAATTGCTTCAAAGAGAATAAAATACCTAGGAATCCAACTTACAAGGGATGTGAAGGACCTCTTTAAGAAGAACCACAAACCATTGCTCAACAAAATAAAAGAGGACACAAACAAATGGAAGAACATTCCATGCTCATGGATAGGAAGAATCAATATCGTGAAAATGGCCATACTGCCCAAGGTAATTTATAGATTCAATGCCATCCCCATCAAGCTACCAATGACTTTCTTCATAGAATGATGCATGTCAAGATGTATTTGTGTTTTTTTCCCATTCACTCTGCCTGAGATTTAATCTACATTTCAAAGTCAAAGCTTCTCCCTAGGTAACTCTTTGCTCCCAGTCCTTCCAGGTGCCGTTCTGCTAGTCCTTTTGTAGACTGAGGGCAGGAGTAGAGAAAGTAAACACAAGGTCATCCATTAAGAGTCAGTCCTAAAATTGTCCTTCTCTTCTTCATCCTTTCTACTCTTCTCCATCCTCAGATACTACATGTATCTCCAACTGCTTATGTCTCCATTTTCTGAAACGGGGGTATGGGAGGAATACTTTTCAAGGAAAGACATCATTAAATATGAGTTTAAAAAAAATAAGCTGACCCCATATTCCTCGGGTTCTTCTAGACTTCTGATTCTTCTTTTCCTCTCCACCACTATTCTAACTCCTTAAAGCACTCTAGATATAGTGTAAATAATTGAAACTCTCTAATGATAAGAATTCAGCCTTAAGGGTTTGGTTGTTTGATGTTTTTTAAAAGCATTGGATGGCATTCATTAAACTGTGATTCAAAAATGTATTCTGGTATATGAGACATTTTGTAACATGCTCAGAATAAGGAGCTGCATCACACAGTTCTGATGAGTCTTACAGTTAACCTGTTCCATGATTCTGATTAAATACAATCATATATTATAATTCATCAGGCATTATGGAAAGGTTAATTACATAGACTATGTAATCAGTATATATCTGCATGTTTATCAATTCAGATGTTATCTGTTGTGTGTGATAAGAAAAAAAAAGATTTGTTGATGGAAGTATGGGCTAAATTTATTACTTTAGCCAGCTATCATCTTGTTAAACCCTGCTTCTCTCCTAAGAAAACAATCTAAACTTACCCCAGCTTCATAGATTATAAAGTCATACCCTCTGTTGGGATTTTTGAGAATTGTCCCATTTGGGGGAAAACAAATGCGATAGAACAGTGGTTATTAAATTTAGATGCAAATTAGAATCACTTGAGAAGCTTTTCTTAAAATCCTATTACTCATGCCACACTCCACACCAGTTAAATCAAAATTCCTGGAACTGGGACCAAAGCATAAAGAATTTTTAAAGTCCCCAGGTGATTCAGAAGTGCAGCCATAGTTGAGAACCACTGAGTCTGAGCCTGTGACTCCACTACTGTCCTTTGCAATTTTCAGACAGATTGTTGATATTGATCAGATACTAGTCAATTAACCACTCAACTGACCAAAAGGATAAGTTACTTCACGTTATGTAAATGTATTTTTACGTTATTAAAAAGACTTCATGAAGTATTTGTTCAAGAAGTGTTTACTCAAGTTGGCTCTGAGTAATTTAAAGTAATTATATGTGTTTACATATACACACACAAAATTAAGTCAAATACCTAGGTATTTTTTGGTAGTTCAATTCATTACTGTAAACATGATAAGAAACCATAACTTGTTAAGATGGCTTCCAGGAAAATAGAATTCTTGAGTGTTTCCATCGAACTTTACCACATAGACCCAATTATTTTTATGCATTTTTAATAAATCTTTTAAAAGGAAATATGCCTTGGGTAAAAGATTTTGAAATGAAAAGAATATACAGCATTAGCACTAAAATACACGTAGTAAAACCTCTTTTATAAAATTGTCCTTAAAGGACAGAATCAGCATCTACAAGACAGTTGTCCATTTGAATAGGGACTTAAGGTTTGGGATATTTTAAAAACCCTTGTAACAACTTGCAAAATTATGTGAAGTGTGTGCGTGTATGGGGCTACCCACTGATGTGCATTTTTCTGGAGACAGGAATCATGGCTTTGATGAGATGCTTACGTTCAGTGAGGGGAATCCGCTCAGTGAGGGTGGGGTGTTGCTCTATAATTGATCACAGTTATTAAGCAATAGAGGTGGCAGTTGATATGCACCACATCTCCATCTTTATGGAGACAGCTGAGCATAATGCACTGATTCTAGGCTCAGACAACGTGGACTTAAGTGCTTGCTCTGTAACTTACTTGCTGAGTAAATGCAGCTTTTCAAGTTTCAGGTTTCTGGTCTATAAAATGGTGGTAATATCCATCCCACTTACCTCATAGTATTGTTATAGAGTTTTAAATTAAACAACTATTTGTGAATGCTAAGCTTCAATCCAAAGACAAGAAAAAGATTAGCAAAATGTGCAAGTCCTGTGTTGAGTAGACTGAGAGCTTCCAGGCTAGCACCCATGAAATCTTATTTAAGCCCAAAGAAAAGAGATAGATGTTCAATCAGTTGCTGAAAAAGTGGTTTGTACATGATGAAAGTAAATCTATAAGAATACTATTGGCATATATTTGGGACCTGCTTGACAAGGAGTGTCATATAGATGTGTGTGCATTTTGGAGTATCCTCCTCTCTTGAATAGAATAACTTTAGTCCAGAGAAATCTTGTACAGTGGTGATTCGCAGAAGCAATAGCAGACAACTCAAGAACCAGAGAGAGTGTAACACACCTTTGTAAATCTTCTTGGTGACATCTACAAAAGAAACATGGGCCAAAAGAAGAAGAAACATGGTGACTCTATGCAGTGACTGAGAGGATTGATTCAGGAAATCTCATGAGATTATCTCTGGGGATTTGCAGAAACAGTTGAGGGCATTTTAAATGTGTCTGTGGAGTGGTAATAGTTTGCACTCTTTCACCAGGAAATGAGGGGGAGCAAGAAACTCTTGCTATATCTGGTATTATCACTGAAGAAACAACAATTATAATGTACTTTGTTCCATTTTTCTTTGACTTCATATCATTGGTGCATATATATATTTTTTTTCCTAAATAAATTCGGTTGTTTATATACTTCTGCTGTTTATAGTCTAACCAAATAATTATGCATCTTTATACACAATGAAGTTTATTACCTTGTGCAGATTATGCACGTTATATCTGCCTATCTCCTTCTTAAAAGAATATTTCTAAAATGTATCTCTTTCATTCCTCTCATACACATACACACACACACACGCACACACACAATTGAGTAAAGCACTAAGAGGCTTGGTGATTGATTTTATATTCCCTAGATTAGAGGAGGATTTGTTAATAGCCGTATTTTTAAACAGTATCTCTTTCTAACATTGCAAAAATTTCAAAGTTAAATGAGGTTTAATCTTTTTTTTTAATTGATTTTTTGCTTTTCTCTCAGGAAGAGATTTTTTACATAATTATTGTCATTCTTATAAATACTCTTGTTTTTTCTCCTTAATGTTTGGTAACAAAGAGGTTTCCTGTTTGTAGGTGCTCTTACAAGATTATTATCAAAAATGCTGTAGTACCCATGTGCATAGCAATCAAAAATGGTTCAAGAGCAAATGAATATGACTTGGAAATCTTAGTATTATTTTTGATCCCATTTTCTCCTTCCACCTCTGATTCATCGAGCATTGGAGATCTTCTGTCTTGACCTCTAATCTGCCCCATCTCTATGTCCACACTGAAACACCATCAGTTTTCCAAACAAACCACATTGCTGTGCCTTGGGCTAACATTGCATCCTCTATGATAGACTTCCTCCCTTTGCCTGGTGAACACCATACCATTATTCAAAACTAAGTTTAACCATATGTCTTTTGTGGAGGTTTCCTGAATTACCAATTGCACTCCCAGGTCAGATTAATCACTCCTTCATCTGTACTTCTTTGTGACTGCCTAATTAGCAGGTGTCTCAGGGACAGGCAAAGCCATGGGAATTCCATAAGATGTCCTTGTAATCAGACTGAAATATATTAACCTTCAGAACCAACCAATAATTTGGCACTCCTTCACACTAATGTTGTTTAAATAGTTACTTTAAAAGAACAAAAATAAACCAATTTTCTGTTAATAAAAATTGAATATACCTTTCTTGAAGCTCAAAATCAGAATATATATGCACATCAAAATTTTACTCTACTTCAGTTGTTTTTATTTAACCTTCTCATCATTTATAATATTAGGCACTATACTAAGAATAGAGATTACATCTAGATAAAATAAAATACCTTGTCCATGTTTTGTTTTTTGTTTTTTGTTCTAGCTTCTGTTCTGTTTTGTCAGCATACTTTCTGATTAGCCCATTTTTTTTCAAAGTTGCATATTCAATTAATAACACCAAAGAATATAAATAATTTTTTATCAATAGAATAAATAAGAGGTTTTGATTTTACATACATAAAAAAGTTATATATGCCATTATTTTCAGGATTCTTGCTGAAAATACATTTAGATATTCACAATAAGACATAACATACTTCACATACTGTTAAGTATTTAGATTTTTATTTAAAAGTTTTCAGTACTGTTAAATCGAAGTGCTATAAATATGTAAATTAGCAAGTTATTCTGAGATAGTTACATCTTAAACATTGCCTTAGAGAAATTCAACTTTTTCTAACTGAATTTAACCTGAAATATTGAAAGTCAATCTAAAAAAATTCTAATAGTAATCAGAAAGTTCATTCTATTCTGCGTACTTTTCCATTTCACACTCCCTTGATGACCTTCACCCATTCCATCTCCGATACAAGTCTGAACTTAGACAACCTTGTGACAAGGTGATTAAGCCCTAGTGGCTTTCTGGGTTGGGGAGGAAGAGGCTTCAGCAAACTTCTGTGTCTTTCTGTTCCTAGCCTCCCATGACTCAATCATTCAATAATCAGGTGCTTAACCAATCAGTATAATTCTTAAACTGACACTTTCAAACTTGCTACCATTGCTTTATTTTTCCTAGTTTAAACAAAAATAAGTATAATGTTCATTAGTATTACCTATTTATTATCCAGAGTCCTTCAAAACACAGCAGTCTCTCTCCATCTATTGATGAGTTCATCATCATCTTGATAGTTGCAATATTAGAAGTCCTTAGTGGCAAGGGCAGCCTCACATTTGGCACAGATCCTGAAAACACCAGAAGAACCGATGCAATGGAAAATTACCTAAAAATTCAAAAGTACAAATCATGGAATTTTCAAATGGGCCTTAATGCTTATCTAGTGCAATTCTGTGGGATATTTTGAGGGTATGAAGTGGACAGCATCTGTGTCATCATTAGACTTTGACAGAGAGGAGGAGGGAGTGGTTGGAATGTACAGTTTTGAAAAAGCAGGTTCTAAAATTATACAGTATTTTGGTTTTAGACACATAGTATTTTTTAAATGTCAAAATAATGTTGAAGAGGATGTACAATGTATATGTTTATCATTAGACGTTTTTTTAAATTGGTGTTTTTAAAGTTCAGTAATTTGGGGGAGCTTGTTTAGCTTCAATCGGTATTACAGATTAGGAGACCAAGGCTCTGTAAGATTACAGCTTTCTCTCCTGAGTGATCTCAGAGATGCTAAGGACTGAGCACCTGGGCTCCAGGAATTACTGAGGAATGAATTACTATGAGGAATGAATCTGCATTTTTCATCTTTCAACAGTCCTCTTCAGTAGTTAAGACAATATGATTTAACAGATAGTACATTGTGGCCCCCAGAGCAAGTAGACGGTAGTACATTGTGGCCCCAAAGCAAGTAGGCTATTGATATATAGTCAGAAAATGAATAGCAGAGCCAAGGATAGAACTCAGATTTACAGATTTAATCAATCATTGGTCAATACATCTAAAGCATGACTTTCCAATATAATATTGACAAATATAGTTTATGCTAGATGTTAACAATGATTCTTTGAGGTAAAAATGATTTATTATTTCTCATTTTGAAGATAAAATGTAACACCAGAGCCTTCAGAAATAATACCACACATCTACAGCCATCTGGTCTTTGACAAAACTGACAAAAATGAGAAATGGGGAAAGGAGTCCCTATTTAATAAATGGTGCTGGGAAAATTGGCTAGCCATAAGTAGAAAGCTGAAACTGGATCCTTTCCTTACTCCTTATACGAAAATTAATTCAAGATGGATTAGAGACTTAAATGTTAGACCTAATACCATAAAAACCCTAGAAGAAAACCTAGGTAATACCATTCAGGACATAGGCATAGGCAAGGACTTCATGTCTAAAACACCAAAAGCAATGGCAACAAAAGCCAAAATTGACAAATGGGATCTCATTAAACTAAAAAGCTTCTGCACAGCAAAAGAAACTACCATCAGAGTGAACAGGCAACCTACAGAATGCGAGAACATTTTTGCAATCTACTCATCTGACAAAGGGCTAATATCCAGAACCTATAAAGAACTCAAACAAATTTACAAGAAAAAAACAAATAACCCCATCAAAAAGTGGGCAAAGGATATGAACAGACACTTCTCAAAAGAAGACATTCATACAGCCAACAGACACATGAAAAATGCTCATCATTACTCACCATCAGAAAAATGCAAATCAAAACCACAATGAGATACCATCTCACACCAGTTAGAATGGCAATCATTAAAAAATCAGGAAACAACAGGTGCTGGAGAGGATGTGGAGAAATAGAAACACTTTTATACTGTTGGTGGGACTGTAAACTAGTTCAACCATTGTAGAAGACAGTGTGGCAATTCCTCAAGGATCTAGAACTAGAAATACCATTTGACCCAGCCATCCCATTACTGGGGATATACCCAAAGTATTATAAATCATGCTGCTATAAAGACACATGCACACGTATGTTTATTGCACACTATTCACAATAGCAAAGACTTGGAATCAACCCAAATGTCCATCAGTGACAGATTGGATTAAGAAAATGTGGCACATATACACCATGGAATACTATGCAACCATAAAAAAGGATGAGTTCGTGTCCTTTGTAGGGACATGGATGCAGCTGGAAACCATCATTCTCAGCAAACTATCACAAGAACAGAAAACCAAGTACCGCATGTTCTCACTCATAGGTGAGAATTGAACAATGAGATTACTTGGACACAGGAAGGGGAGCATCACACACTGGGTCCTATTGTGGGGAGGGGGTAGGGGGAAAGGATAGCATTAGGAGATATACCTAATGTAAATGACAAGTTGATGGGGGCAGCACACCAACATGGCACAAGTATACATATGTAACAAACCCACACGTTGTGCACATGTACCCTAGAACTTAAAGTATAATAAAAATAAATAAATAAAATGTAATCTCAATGGATTAATAAACAAAATGTAGCATATACACACATGTATACATGTATATGTATATATGTATATTTGTATATGTATATATGTATGTATATGTATATATGTATATGTATGTATGTATATGTATGTATATTTGTATATGTACATATGTATATGTATATATGTATATGTATGTTTACTGAAATATTCAGTAAATTTACATTGTATATTTACAATGAAATATGCAGTAAAATTACATTTTATATTTACAATGAAATATTCAGCCTTAAAAAAGAAAATCTTGTCACATGCTACAACACGGATGAACCTTCAGGACATTATGCTGAGTGAAACAAGCAAGTCACAAAAAGTTAAATGCTGTATGATTCTTTTTATATAAGGTAACTAGAGTGGTCAAACTCATAAAAACAGAAAGTAGACTGGTGGTTACCAGACGGTGGGGAAAGGAGGAAAGAGGAGAGAGGAGTTATCTAATGGATATAGAGTTTCAGTTTTGCAAGATGAAAGAGTTCTGGAGATCCATTGCACAAAAATGTAAAAATGTAAAAACAGTAAAAATGTAAAAAAATACAAATTTTATATAGTATATATTTTATATATACACACAGAGAGAGTGAGAGAGAGAGAGTCTCTCTGTCGCCCAGACTAGAGTGCAGTGGTGTGATCTCTGCTCACTGCAGCCTCTGCCTGCTGAACTCAAGCAATTCTCCTGCCTCAGCCTCCTGAGTAGCTAGGACTACAGGCACGCGCCGCCACGCCCTGCTAAATTTTGCGTTTTTAGTAGAGACAGCGTTTCACCGTGTTAGCTAGGTGAAATAGGATAGGACAGTCTTGATCTCCTGACCTCGTGAACCGCCTGCCTCGGTCTCCCAAAGTGCTGGAATTACAGGCGTGAGCCACCGCGCCCTGCCAAAAATGTGAATATATTTAACAATACTGAACGGTACACTGAGAAAATGGTCAAGAGGGTAAATTTTATGTTATGTGTTTTTTACTGCAATAAAAAAATGAAGAAGTAATCTCAATGATATATAAAACTGGTTAGTAACCGGCAGAGTCATGACTCCATTTCTGATTCAAAATTCCGCATTCTTTCCTCTGGACTCTCCTGTGTCAGCCGTTTTTCCCGTCATCTCCGTGGGGCTGAATGGATCTCTTGCACAACTGCAAACCTGTCGCAGTCACGCTTCAGCACTCCTGTGGGGACAGCCAGGGGTGAGTACGGGGTCCTTGAAAGACAGAGATTGAGGAAGAAGATCCCCCATCTTGTCATTCTTGGAATCCAACATCCCAAGGGAAAGCATTAAAACTACCAGTCTTCAACACTGGAAACGAGTAATCAGTCTGGTGTGATCACAAAAGCCATCAGTCCACCAACTTGATCATTTTATTTTAAAATGGTAAATTCTTGTCATGGAGACATAAACACGGAAAGATAACACTTGCTAGGTACACAGCCATCTCTGGGAAGCAAAGCCTAAGGATAGGCTTGACTCATGTGGTGAGAAAAAAAAAAAAAATTCTAACAGCCCTGAACTCACACCAACACTTTATCTGTTGGCACATTTACAAGGGAAGTTGGAAACCAAATAAAAGATAATTGCCTTTTCTCCACAGGATGTGGCAACTTTCTTCTTAATCCTTTATTTTCAGGCAGTGCCAAGGCTTCCCAAATGAACTAAATGAGGAATGATTTTGAGTGAGTGATGACATTAAGGTGCAAGTTTGTGTTCCTCCCAGATTCTAGATTAATTGCTATAATATAAACCCACAGCACGATGTGTTTTACACTATCATCCACTTATCTCAGGCCTGTTTGTGTTAACTTCCACTAATAGCCAAACTGTGCACTGAATAAGTCACTGATTTGTACAAGATTAGTGCAGATTTGAAGAAAGCTTGTATCTGGTAGAGTTAAAGCTGAAACCATTGAGATTATTCCATTAAATGCTAAATGGATGCTGATAGTTTTCTCCATTAGATAGTGGGAGAAACTCATTGTTATCTGTCTAGAGTGCTTAGTAACCTCACTTTTGTTACCAAGATTTGTCTTTGAGATTCACAGATTTTCTAAATAAGAGAGTAGGTCATGGTGTACCTTTTGTGAGGACACAAAGTACTGTTGCATGTTTTTCATTTTCTTTTAAAGAATCTCTACTTAGGATAATTTCCCCAAAAAACATTGCTTTAGTTCATGAAACTGGGCTAAAAAGAAACCTGAGTAGCATGTATACGTTACATTCAAAATCAGCCTTCATCTCCAGCATTTGCCCCATATTTTTGGACCAAGCTAGTGGGATGAAATTCTTTTTTATTTTATTTTTAATTTCAGTAGACTCAGAGGTACAAGTGACTTGGTTACATGGATGAATTGTATACTAATCACATCTGGGTTTTATCACCCATATAGTGTACATTGTACCCAATAAACAACTTACAGAATGGGAGACAATATTCACAAACTATACATTTGACAGAGGACTGATAGCAAGAATCTAGAAGGAACTCAAACAAATCATCAAGAAATTGTCTTTTTAAAAGTGAATCTCTTTCTTCGGGAAACTCAGTTCCTCAAATAAATCTAACAACACTAAGCCCACCTTGCCAGACCTCTAGATATGTGAAGTACAAATACAGGACTTTTTTCTGGAAACCTTCTACATAGGGATGCTTCAGCTAATTTTTGAAAGCATTAGGAGGTTGATGAGTTTTTAAGTCAGGAGAATCTGCTAGGAGAAATCACAACTGATTAGAAAACCAAAAGTCTGAAGGTAAGGAGGCAAGTTAGTACTTTATAGTAGTAGTTCAAGTAAATAAAAATAGAAGC